AAAAAAAATACTTTGAATATTTTATGTTAATGCGTTCGCTACCGGAGATTTCGAAAAACACATAGAACTACAGCAAATAAACGACGCATATATGCGTCGCTGGTAGCGAACGCGTTAATAAAAAAAAATTTCATTCAAACAAGCGGATAACAAGGTGTACTTGCAACACCACAAAGATTATCCTTATTTCTTGCCCATAATACATAACCATCCATTCCCCAACTAGTACTCATTGAATTCTTTATCTTCCAATATTGTTGACCATTCAATGTACCATATCCAACAACAGTCATACCATGATCAATTAAAATCATATTACAATCATCATAATCATAAACACCGGATTTATAAAGCATAAAATGTGGTGAATCAGCATCGATTGATATAGCAACTGGACCAACTTTTGCTACTGCATTTTGCATTACTTGTTCATCAAATCGTTTTAGATCAACAAGACTTTTCATTACTGCTCCAACTGTTTTAACCGAAAAATGACAACCAGTACCATTTGGTCCAACATATGGATATGATGCTTCAGTATCAATTTGACCATGATTTCTAAGAATATAATCCAATGTAAAATCAATAAGACCACCTTGACAACCATAATTTTCATCAGTAGAACAATCAATAACTTGTTGTACAGATAATTCAACAAGTTTTCCAGTTTTTAATGCTTGTTGACTTTCTAATGCTTGAACCGGACCAAATGCATAACCAGAACCACAATCACCCATATTACGTACGGCTGTTACAACACCTTTTTTAGTCCAATCAATTTCATCGGGTAAATCAGTCAAATCATTATCTGTATAAATTTGTGATGATGGTTTTCGAAACTCTCGCATAAATTTATTTGATGGATTTCTACGAATCAATTTTCGAAATTCATCACGTGTCCAATCGGCAAATTGATTAATACCCAATTGATATGATGATAATCCTTGATCATAAAGTTCATTATGTTTTCGAATAATTTCTAAATTTTGATGAAAAATTTCAAATCTCATATGTTCTTCCTCTTCGGAATTATATGAACGATTGAAAGTGTTCTGATTGAAATCAAATCGTTATTAATTATCGACATTTGAATTCGAAATTTGAAAAAAAAGAAAAGATATTCATACCTTAAATTCATACCATTCTTCGTTCGGTATTGCTAATGTCCAAGATAATTGGATCAATAGAAAAGTGGCTAAAATCAATGTAAATGACTGCATTTTTTAAATCAAAAATCAACAAGCAAGCAAGCAAACAAACAAACAATGTTTTTTGTCAATCATTTTATTTATTTATATAACAAAAAAACAAATGACATGATTGATATAGGAAAAGATCCGTAATGATAATAATAACAATTCTAGAGAAGAAGAAAAACTCATTAAAAGTAGATTTGTTAAAATTTGTACAAAAAAAAACTTGAGGATTTTCAAGTATCAATAATATTATTTTTCTTTTTTAATTTCTCGAGTGGATTGATTAAAGGTTAATTAATTATTTAAATTTAGATTGAAATTATCTTTTTTTCATAAATTTTTTTCCATGCGAATTATTTTGATTTTTTGAATGATTTTTAACAAACGATTTTTTTCGTTTCATTTTTGTATTGAATGAATTATCATTATCCTCGCCATCACCATTTCGATCATTATCATTATTTTTACGTTTACGATTTTTACCCAACCCGGCATCATCCATTTCATTTTTAGCAAAACGTTGTGCTTGTAATACACGTTCTTGAAATAACATTACTTCATCATCATCAATAGGTGTATATTTGGGCAGTTGTTTACCCAATAAATGTTCAATACGTTGATATAATTCAACATCATATTGTGATACAATAGTAATAGCTTTACCATATCTACCAGCACGTGCTGTACGACCAACACGATGTATATAATCTTTACTATGTGTTGGTATATCATAATTAATAACAAAATCAACATGCGGTATATCAAGACCACGACTAGCAACATCCGTTGCTAATAATATACTTCGTGCTTTTGAACGAAATTTATTCAATGATCCTAAACGTTTTGCCTGTGACATTTGTCCATGTAATGGTATAGCATTAAAACCAAGATTACGTAACATTAATGCTATACGTTGTGTTTGATTACAGGTATTGCAAAATATAATGAATGAATTACCTTGAAGACTGTTCAATATGTAAACCAAATAACAATCTTTATATTTGACTGGTACAAATAGATAATATTGTTGTAGATTATCAACAGTTTGATATTTGCTTGATACTTCAACTCGTACAGGATCTTTAAGTGATGCACGTTGTAATTTTTGAACTTTAGATGTCATTGTAGCCGAAAACATAAATGTTCGTCGTTCACGTGGTATTACTTTCAAAATAGTATCAACTTCTTTTTCAAAATCCATATTCAATATACGATCAGCTTCATCAAGTACTAAAAATTTTAATGTTCGAAGATGAAATCCTTTAGTGTTTTCCAGATGATCAACTAAACGACCCGGTGTAGCAATAATAATGTGTGGTCGTTTAGCTAATGCTAATGATTGGGTCATCATATCCATTCCACCGACAATTGTTGCTGTTGTTACACCGAAACTAGTGCCCAATGCTTTTACTTGATCGTTGATTTGAAATGCAAGCTCTCTGGTTGGCGTCAAAATCAATGCAAATAATCGTTGTGGAGTATCCAATAACGATTGTAAGATTGGTAATACGAATGCTCCGGTTTTACCTGAACCAGTTTCAGCTAGACCAATAACATCACGTCCTTCTAATGCTAATGGTATTGCTTCAGTTTGAATTTTGGATGGTTTTGTCCATTTCAATGATTCACAAGCTTCACATAATACATCACAAACACCTAATGATTGAAATGTTGCCGTTTCTTCTTTCAATGCATCTTTTGTTTCGGCATTTAATAGGAAATTTTCCGAATCACTTTCTTGTTTTTCTTCGACTTCTTTGTTATTATTTTCAATAAAATCTTCGTCGGCTGAAGAATCGGACATTTTTAAAAAAAATTCAATAATACAAAATTAAAATGTTAAATGTTTCAACACGATCCTGACAGAGAGATACACGTGCTCGCATATAATAATCGATTGTGAACAATCGATTTTTTTTCGATATCACAAGATTCAGTTTTGTTTTGTTTTGCGTTGCATCAATTTTCTTTTCTTTCTTTTTTTTTTGATTTTAACCATGTCTTCAGCATTAGTATCATATGATGACAGCGGAAGTGATTCTAGTGATCAAGATTCCGAAATCGGAATGAAAGTACCCGAATCAATGTTACAAATTGTATCGGCTCCTCAAGTTGATGCTACAATGGTTCGTGGTTCATCAACATCACTCAATTCAGAACGATTTATTGATGTTAAAAATTGTAAAGAACTTCAATATAATCCAAAATTTGAAGAACTTTATCGACCTGAATTCGGCCCATCAAATCCTAAAGATGATGGACAAAAATTTGGAAAGAATTTTCTTACTGGAGCTCTTGAACCTACATACATGTCCGAAGCATTGTTTGAATATCAACGAAAAAATTTTCATGCTTATGGTATTGCAAATGATCCTAGTACAGGTGCTAAAGCTGATCAAACAGTTTCAAAACCTTGTTCATCTAAAACTATTGATAATGTTGAAAAAAAGAAACGAAAACGTGTAATAAATGATGATCCAGGTGATATTGAAGGCTATAAAGGTCCATGGGCCGAATATGAAGATGAACAAAAAATTGCTCGGCCAACTGAAGAAGAACAACAAGAATTAATTGAAATACTTGCTAAACGTAAAAATGTTCATGCTAGTGGAACGGTAAATAAAATTGAAGAAGAATTTAAAGATCGTGCTACGTTACATATAAAAGATCCATATGATTATCAAGGACGATCATTTTTACATCCACCACATGATATTGATGGTGTACCATTACATAAACCAGATCATGTACCGAATCGTTGTTTTTTACCGAAAAAATTACTACATACATATGTTGGCCATTCAAAACCTATCAATGCTATACGATTATTTCCACAAACTGGACATCTATTGTTGTCATGTTCGGTTGATTCAAAAATCAAATTATGGGAATTGTATAATGAACGACGTTCAATAATGACTTATCAAGGCCATCGTCAAGCAGTTCGAGATATTTGTTTTAATCGTCATGGTGATCGTTTTATATCATCAGGTTATGATCGTGCCATTAAACTTTGGGATACTGAAACTGGACAATGTATACGAAAATTTTCTAATCGTAAATTTGCATATTGTGTACGATTCAATACATCGGATGATTCACATTCACATTATTTTCTTTCGGGAATGTCGGATAAAAAAATTCTTTGCTGGGATTGTCGATCCGGTTCTATTGTACAAGAATATGATCGTCATTTAGGTGCAGTCAATACAGTAACATTAGTTGATGGTGGTCGTAGATTTGTATCAACATCGGATGATAAATCATTACGTGTATGGGAATGGGATATACCTGTCGATGTTAAATATATTGCCGATCCATCGATGCATGCTATACCGGCGGTTACAGCAGCACCAAATAATAAATGGCTAGCCTGTCAATTTATGGATAATAAAATTCAGGCATTTGCCTGTATGAATCGTTTTAAATTGAATCAGAAAAAAATATTTACCGGTCATATGGTTGCCGGTTATGCTTGTTCACCAAATTTTTCACCCGATATGAGCTATCTTGTATCGGGTGATGCTGATGGAAAATTATTTTTCTGGGATTGGAAAACAACCAAATTATTAACATCATTTCAAGCGCATGAAAATGTTTGTATTTCTGCATTATGGCAACCACATGAAACATCAAAAGTAATTACAGCCGGATGGGATAATCTAATTAAACTTTGGGATTAACATTTTTTTTCATTCAATTATTATTGTTCATATTCATTTATTTAATCATTTTTCATTCATTTTTTTCTTTTGTAAAATAAAATCAAAAAAAAAATTTGGAAATTTTGTAAATTTTTTCTAAAAAAGAACATGTCAACATAGTGACATCTAGTGACGATATTTGTTTTGTTTGATTAATTCGAATTTGGTGAAAAAAAAGAGTGTGATGTTTTTCTGTTTATATTCATCATCATCATTATAATTTTGATTTTCGTTTCGATTACGTTTCGTTTTTTTCATGTTAATATGATGAAATTCTAATTTCTGTTCACTTGAGCTTTTGTGTGTATGTTGATTTCAAGTTAAAAAAGAATTAACTGTCAAATGGATGTTCAAGATCCGAATCAAAAACGATCAAGAAAAAGTAGTAGTTTTTCCTTCTTTTCATTTTATTTATGTAACATATATTTTTATTCTTTATTTTGATTAGGAAGTTATGATAATTATTCATTGAATGATATGAATGAAATGGAAAAGAAATGTTTATTATATAATTATTGTTTTGTTTGTCATAAAAAATTTGATCAAACAAATGAATCAATACGTTCATGTCTAAATCCATTATGTTCATTGATTCAACATGAAAAATGTTTTATTTCGAATAATTTCTATCTAAATAATTGGAATACAAATGATATAACTAAAAGTTTATTATTAAAAAATGTTGAAAAAGAAGCAATCGATTTTGTTCGTTTATTACAACAACGAAATTTTAATTATGAATTTTGTGGTATTTGTTTGACAAAAGTTTCCGAAATGATTATTTTATATTATAAAAACCCGGAAGATGAATATGATGATAATGAAACAATCAAATATTTTACCTATTCATTTGCCCAATTAGAAAGTATTACAAAATATTTATTGTTTAAAAAATTATCAGCAAATTTTAAAAAAATGTTAACATCATTTAATCAAGAAATTCCTAAACAACTTGAAAATTTGAATGTTAATAAGAAAAAATACCCGAATGCATCATTGATTGATTTATTTAAATTATCGATGGAAAGTTGTCAACAATTTGATAAACATCGAACATTATTTAATTTTTTCAATGATTTATCTGATGGTAATTATTTTCATAATTATGAAGATATTCTTTATGATTTAAAATTGGTAAGTTTCGATTCTAAATCTTAAATTAAATCATTCATTGATTTTGTTCTTGTATATTAAATAGATTTATCATCAACGCATTGTTCAATCGAATGGAAATGAAAAAGATCGTACATGTTTAGAAATTAAAAAAATTTATGATTTTTGTGTCGTTGAATTGGCTGATATACGTGAATGTGTTGATTGTTATTGTTATTATTATGATTCTGAATCATTTACAAAAGTATGTAGCCGTCCACATGGTATTGTATGGGCACCATGTAAAGCTAATAAAAGTCAAATAATATGGTGGCCGGCAAAAGTTTATGTTCCATTTCGTATACCTGAACATATCAACAATCAGGATAATATTATCCAAATAAGAATGTTTGGTTGTTCACGTAGGTAGGTGGTTGTTATATTCATATTTTAAATTTGATTGGAAATGGATTTATTTTTATGCTTTTTTTTTAAATTTGTTTCCTCTGAAGACATACACAAAAATTGTATTTCAATATGAATCAAATCTATGCCTTTTCGAAAGAACCACCACAACCTTTTGGTAATATAAAAGTACTTTCACCAAATTCTAAACAATTTGATTATCGTCTAGCTTTAAATCAAGTATCTGAATATTTCAAAGAGTAAGCATTATTGAATTGAAAATCAATATTATAATAATAATATCTTCATCATTTTTTTTATGTTTAGTTATCAAAAATATTGGCCAAATGGTTTGACACAAATTCCGGATTATCCTCGTCAATTCGACATTGAACAGGATTTATTTTGGCCAACACCAGAATTAATTCGATCATCATTTGATGATGATTCTTCTTAACCAATAGCTTGTTATTTTGCTTTCCAAAGATCTTTCTTTCATTTAATCTTGCATTTTTTAGTCAAAATGTTTTTTGATAAACATTGTTAATATCTTTCATTGAAAATTATAAATAACAAAATAAAACATTTACCGCTACATTTTATTTTTGAAAACAATCGATAGTAGTTGTTCATCACTATCATTTATGCAGCCGTTTGATTTACCGCGTTTTTTTTATTATTATTATTGTGATGATTTTTTCAAATGAAGAAAAATTCATTTAATTTTAATCAACAAAAAAATGGCGAATATTAATAAAGAAACTGTTGATTCGATGGATAAAACTTTTAAAAATCTAATATCAATATTAATATCGATTGTAAGAAAAAATTTAAATGAAAATGATGAACATCTTAAACAATTATTATGGCCATTATCAACATTGTTATTAAATCCAAATTATTGTTCGATTATTAGAAAATATCAAAATAATGAAATTGAATTATTTTTTCTACAATTACGATCAATGTTTCTGCATGATAAAGATAATATTTTATTATTGTATAAATTTCGTCAAAATCTTTTTCCCAGTTTAATCGGTACAAATGAATGTTTTAATGGAACAAAATTTGATAATATTATATCATGGTTACATCGAAAATATAATGATAATCTAATGTTGGAAAATAAAATGATTACTTTACAAAAGAAAAATATACAGGTAAAATGATTATATAACATTTGAAAATTTTGTTGTAATTTTTCAATTTTTTTTTCGTTATCATAGAAAATGAATAAAATTGAACAAATCTATCTGGATTGTTTTGGTGATTATCGATTACAAACAAAAGTAGAAATAATATTGAAAGAAAAAACTAAACAATTAGAATTGATGAAAAAGAAATCGGAAAAATGTAAAGAAACTGAACGATTAAGACGATTATTGGCTATCGGTAATAATAATGATATTGGTTCAACAACAGCCATAAATCTACATGAACAATATCGTAAAATAACGATCGAAAATCAATTATGTCAAAAACAAATAAACATATTGAAGCAAAAAAAATTTCTTATCGAATCAATGGATACAACCAGAATTAATCGTATCAAACAATTGATCAAAGATATTAAATTTGTTAAAGAATTAAATAATACATCACCAGCTAAACAAATATCATCAATATCACCGATTAATCATTATTACAATCGATTATCAAATAATGGAAATGTTGAAAATTCTCCATTAAATTTTTCCAATCAATCAACATCATCATCAATATCATCATCATCTACAATTGATAATATAAGCTTAAGTTTTGATGCACAATTAAAATTTTGATAAATAAAAATAATAAAACCTTGAAAATCTATTGCGTGGTCATTATTATTATCATGAATCATATATGATTTGGGATTTTTTTTTCTTGTTAGTCAATGTTTAGTGTTGATATTTTATCCAAAAATGGTAAAAATATTTGGAAAAAATTTAGGATGATAATCATGTTTTTTTATGCAATATATTAACAAACAAACCAAAAAAAAAGTAGAAAATCAATCTACCTACCTGCTGACTAACCAATAGGGTTGAATAATATCGTTTTTTTTTCGTTTTTGTTTTCAAGGACAATTCAATATTTACTTTGATTGTGTGTGTTTGTTGAAAAAATCGCCTACGATTCAATTCAGTTGAACACCTGTAAAAAAAATTAGAAAGATGTTCATACAAAATGATTTGAAAATCTTTCGAATAGAATCATTTGATTAAAGTTGTTCGAATAAGACACTTGTTGAATGTGAGATTCTTTTTTTTGTGTTATTATAAAATTTGAATTGTGTGTCACCAAATAATATTTGATCATAAAATGTCAATGAAAAAAGCGATTGGTATTGATCTTGGTACCACTTATTCATGTGTCGGTGTATTTCAATATGGTAAAGTAGAAATTATTGCCAATGAACAGGGAAATCGTACTACACCAAGTTATGTTGCATTTACCGATAATGAACGTTTGATTGGTGATGCGGCTAAAAATCAAGTTGCTATGAATCCAGCCAATACGGTTTTTGATGCAAAACGTTTGATTGGACGACGTTATGATGATCAATCAGTACAATCGGATATGAAACATTGGCCATTTAAAGTGGTGAATGAAAAAGGAAAACCAAAAATTCAAGTTGAATATAAAGGTGAAATGAAATGTTTTTCTCCCGAAGAAATATCTTCAATGGTATTGACAAAAATGAAAGAAGTTGCTGAAGCTTATCTTGGTACAACGGTAAAAGATGCAGTCATAACAGTTCCAGCTTATTTTAATGATTCACAACGACAAGCAACAAAAGATGCTGGAACTATTGCCGGTTTGAATGTATTACGTATTATAAATGAACCAACAGCAGCTGCTATTGCATATGGATTAGATAAAAAGAAAACTGATAAACGTGAACGTAATGTATTGATTTTTGATCTTGGTGGTGGAACATTTGATGTTTCTATTCTTGTTATTGATGGTGGTATATTTGAGGTATTTTAATTTCAAAAAAAAAAACAATTTTCTTGATTACTTACTTGATTTATATTTTCATATGATTATAATCTTCAACAGGTAAAATCAACAGCTGGTGATACTCATTTAGGTGGTGAAGATTTTGATAGTCGTTTGGTTAATCATTTTGTTGAAGAATTTCGACGAAAAAATCATAAAGATTTAAGTAAAAATAAACGTTCACTTCGACGTTTACGTACGGCATGTGAACGTGCAAAACGTACATTATCAAGTTCAACACAAACTACAATTGAAATTGATTCATTATTTGATGGACAGGATTTTTATTCCAATATAACACGAGCACGTTTTGAAGAACTTTGTCATGATTTATTTCGATCAACATTAGGACCGGTGGAAAAAGCATTGAATGATGCTAAATTGGATAAACATCAGATTGATGAAATTGTTTTGGTTGGTGGTTCAACACGAATTCCAAAAATACAGAAATTATTATCGGATTTTTTCAGTGGTAAAGAATTGAACAAATCAATTAATCCGGATGAAGCAGTTGCTTATGGTGCAGCAGTACAAGCAGCCATTCTTATTGGTGATAAATCTGAAATGGTAAAAGATCTGCTTCTTTTAGATGTAACACCATTATCGTTAGGTATTGAAACGGCCGGTGGTGTAATGTCGATTCTAATCAAACGTAATACAACAATTCCGGCTAAACAACAACAAACATTTACAACTTATTCGGATAATCAATCAGGTGTTACTGTACAGGTATATGAAGGTGAACGTGCAATGACAAAAGATAATAATCTATTAGGACGTTTTGATTTGAATGGTATATTACCGGCACCACGTGGTGTACCACAGATTGAAGTTCAATTCGATATTGATGCAAATGGTATTCTACATGTATCGGCACAGGATAAAAGTACAGGAAAACGTAACAAAATTATCATTACTAATGATAAAGGAAGATTATCAAAAAAAGAAATTGAAAAAATGATTGAAGATGCTGAACGTTTTAAAGATGATGATGATCAACAACGTGAACGTATTGTATCGAAAAATAAATTAGAATCATATGCTTATCAATTAAAAAATATGATTGAAGATGATAGTGAAATACGAACAAAAATTTCACAATCAGATAGAAATAAAATAATGGAAAAAGTAAACAATACTATTTCATGGTTAGATTCAAATCAAATGGCCAATAAAGAAGAATTTGAATATCGTTATAAAGAATTGGAAAATGTTTGTCGACCAATCATAACGAATATGTATCGTACAAATGGTGGTGATCGAAACAATAATACTAATGATGATGGACCAAAAATTGAAGAAGTTGATTAAGAAGGAAGAAAGAAAAATTTATTTTGAAGATGAAGTAAGAAAAAAAACCGAAAACATGACACTCAAATGATAATAATAAGTAGATATAGAATCGAACTGATAGATTAAACTGATATATTATATCTTGTATTGATTCGAGTTAAAACATCATCATCATTTTCATAATCATCATCATAATAATTTCTATGATGTTTTTTCGATGAATGTTTTCGATGATGTCGTTTTGAATGAATTTTTTCACTTTTACTTTTTCTTTTTGATCGACTTTTCATATGTTTTGTATTCTTTTTTTGTGATTTTTTTGATTTTCGTTTATTATTAACAATAATTTCACTATCACTATCACCATCATCATCATTTGAATCAACAGTAGTATTGTTGAGTGTTGGTAATTCAGTGTCCAAAAAACTGAAAATATTTTGAAATAAATTTAAATGTTTTTCCATGTATACGATTGATATGCAAAGACCAATTATACCGAATAATATTAATAAAGATGGTAATGATATTGGTGTCAATTTGAATGCTGGTTTTTCGGTTTGATCATTCATTTCGGAATGAAATGTTCTTTTCCAATCTTTACGATTTCGTTCATTTATATCTTGATTTCGTTTTTTTCTACCAATCGGTTCATGATTATTTTCTTCTTCGTTCGTTCCATATTCATTACGTAAACGATTATTACTTTTTCGTATTCTTTTTGTATCGAATAATGATGATACTTGTTGATTTCGATAAGCCAAACAAAAATAACTGGAATTAAATGTATAAAACAATAGCCAAAAATAAAGGATGAACAAAATATTCATAATTCGCTAATGTTCTGAAAAAATATTTCAATCAATTTTCGATCAATTTAACATCGTTAAAAGTTAATTGTTAATCGAAAATTGTTAATTGAATAATTTTATTTATAAAAAAAACGAAATTAGTCACAATTTGAACCAACCATTTCGACGTATTATTTTCGGAAAATTTTTCGAAACTATTTCAACACAAATGACTTCTTTTTCCATTTCCTATTTTGCATATGTTTTCAAAAAATTTTCTTTGAGTAATTTTTTTTTCATCAAAAATTTTGGGATTTTTTTTTGAATCTTTTCAAAATGGAATGGACAAATCGAGAAAAATTAGCTTTATTTTCTGCTGTTAAAAAATGGGGTCCAAAAATTTTGTATGTTAAAGTGAAAAAAATAAATAAATCTTTTCTAACAAATTCAATTTTCGTTTTTCGAAATGTAGAGAAAATCCAGATCTAGCTAAACATTTGAATAAATTTGAAAAAAATCGTCCATATGATTGGTTCAATACGGATAATTGTATTCATATGTACAAGGAAATTTGTTTACAATTTTATAGGTAAAAATTGTTTATTTTCAAATTTGATTTTTGATGTTAAAATTTTCATATATTTCATTGAATAAAGTGATGATATCGATAAAAATATCCGAAAATTGGAACAAAATCATTTAAACGAATTAAAACAATCATTATACAATCGTTTTGAAATGATTAAAGATATTAATAATAAAATTCGAATACAAAAAGAGAAAATAATCGAAAAGAAAAAACGAAATTCGAATGAAAACATTGTACCAGAAATCAATGATGATAATAATAAGCTTACAACGGAAATTGTTGAAGTCGTTCCTGAAATGATTGAAAAATCGATTGAAATGGATGTACAACCACAAATCGATAATGATTTTGTCAATGAAAAAGATTCAAATGAAAATGAAAATCTACCGAATCAATCTGTGGACATTGTTGAATCTAATGATGATGATGATGATGAAAAAATCAATCACGATGTGGATACAATTGAAAATATCGATGAGATTATGAAGAGTGAATCAGATGATGATAATGATGAGGATAAAAATACTAAATCAATCAATGATCAAACTGAAAAAACCGATGCTGATGAAAAAATCGAATCGATTCATGAAGATGAAAATGTTCAATCAAACGAAACTGAAACAATCGATGAATCAAATCAAAATGAAAATATTGATGAATCTATTGAAAATATTAAATCTGAAAAAGATGATATCAGCCCAACAACAACAGATGATGTAATCATACCGACCGTAGAAGAATCGAATGACGATGTTAATGATGATGTTGATGATTCAACGTTAATAGTGAAAAAAGAATCAAAAACCTATGCAACAAAAAATAATATACCAAAATCGGAACAATATTCGCAACAATCAAAATCAACAAGAATGATTACACGTTCTATAAGTCGTCAATCTATTCAATTGGAAATGGTTGATTCAAAAGAATCTTTAAATTTATCCAAATCCGTTAGCTTTATCGATTTAATCGATTCAATTGAAAATGATAATCAACCAACGACTATAGTTGAAAAACAAATTGATCAACAACAGCTGGTTGATGATGATGATGATGATATTGAAAAGCAATCTAAAGAACAGGTAGAAGATTTAGAACAAGAAAATAATCAAAATGACTCAAAAACCGAAACGAATTTGGAACAAGAAATTTCGATTGATAATAAATCAGGAACAATGATTAATGAAAAACCAACGGTAATTAATCAACGATCAAAACAACCAAAAACCAATGATGATACTCAGCAACCAAAAGAAATTATAAAGGATAATAAAAAACGTGAAAAATCACAATCAAAAGATACGGAAGAATTCAATATTATCACTAGATCGACTAGTAAGAAAATAGCTAAACAAACAAAATCACCACCACCGCTTCCACCACCACCAGTTGTTGATGTAATTCCGACCAGATCAAATCATCGATCAAAAAGCATGTCGTTGGAAACTAAAATAACATCATCTCCGACAGTATCATCATCATCAACTTCAACAACAACAACAACAACATCGATTTCGGATACAAAAGAAATTGACATTATTATGGCAAGAAAATTACGAAATATTGTTAAATCGATTGGAAAACATGATTATTTTGATTATATAAAACGATCACAATCATCATCATTATCATCATTGAATGATGTAATTGAAAAACCAATCAATATTGAAAATATAATGATTGAAATTGATAATGGAAATATTGATTCATTAATACAATTAAAACATCGATTAATATTATCAATTTTTCAATATCAAATTCAACATCAACAAACAATGATGATGGATTCATTGAATGATCGAAAAAAATTTTTAGAATTTTTAACAGATTTTGAAAAGAAATTTACAATCAATATTATCAGCAATGAAAATAGTAGAAAAAAGAATCAAGATGATGGTAAACAATGTCCTGATCGTCGTCAATCGATACAATAATTTTTGTTTGTTTTGTTTGTCTGCTGGTGGTGGTCATATCAGTGATATTTTTTTTCATATCTTAAATTTTCTTCTTCTTCTTCGTCTTGATATATCTTCAAAGTAAAACTTATTTCAAAATTTTTTTTCTTCTTAAATGCGAATTGGCGTCGTAAAACGTCTGACGTCAATGTACATGCAGTACATTCACTTTTGATTGATGATTGATGATGATGATGAAAAAGTGAAAGAAAAATCCTATCTCTAATGGCAACAGTAACTGACTATTTTGTTTTTTGCTACCAGAATTTTATTTTGATTTTTTTTAATTGCAATTTTCAAATGAACAAAAAAGAAAATTTAACTTTTTTTTGTCTAGTCGAATCATTTTGGTTTCATTTTTAATGATCCGGTGTGCTTGCTTGCCGGTAATATTTTTTTCATCCGGAAATTTATTGTTATAAAATAGGACAAAATGCCACAACTTATAATACAAACAAATCTTCGTTTATCACAAATTCCGGTGGATTTTAATGAAAAAACAACAAATTTATTGGCCGAATTACAAAATAAACCATCATCGATGACATTGGTCTGTTTGAAAAAAAAATTTTGTAATTTTAATTAATTAAAAATTCTGTTTGTTTACCTTTCTTGTTATAAAGATATCTGTGCAACCGAATCAATTGATAACATTCGGTGGAACTAATGAACCATGTGCATTAGTATCAATTCAATCGATTGGTAATCAATCAGTGGATGAAAATCGTCAATCTTGTAAAAAAATTTTCCAACATTTACAAAATGAATTAAACATATCAAGTAAACGTATATTTATTAATTTTATTAATTTTGATCCTTGTAATGTTGGTTGGGATGGACGAATTTATGAAGATATTTTTGCCGATTCGAATAATCGAATATCGATTGTTGAAAATACTGATAATGATGTTTGTGATAACGATGATAATGATAATCAATCGACAACTTTGATCGAAAAACCAATCGATAATGGTGATGGTAATGATGATGGTGGTGGTGATAATAACGTTGGTGATAATAATGGTGGTGATAATAACGTTGGTGATCAATTGGAATCCGAAACTGGTGAACCGGTTCCAGAATCGGAAGAAATGACTAATGAAGAATAAAGTTTTTTTGTTGTGATTTAATTGAATTTACTAATCAACTTAATCTAATTATGAAAAAAACACATAATAAATTGAACAAATTTAGAAAATTAAAAGTTTTGTTTTTCGCTTTTTTGGTTTTGGTTTTGTTTTTTTTATGTGTGTTTCGAGCAATGATTGAACAACCAACATTAAATTTTCGAACACGTTTTGGTTTTGCATTCGGCCATATATTCAATGATCTTTGTGCATCAATATGGTTTTCATATGGTCTTTTATTTTATAAATTATGTTTCGGTCAGCTTGGTTATCTGTTTGTAGTGTTTGGACAGATAATCGATGCATTTGCAACAATTATACTTGGATTAATATTAGATATTCGTTGTAAATGTATTGTTAATCTATTTAAACATTTTGGTGGTACATATACTGGTTATTATATTATTGGTACAATAATTGCATTCATATCATTTCCATATGAAATATCTGAATTAAAATTAATATTAGATAAAAATAATGAATTATTATTATATTTAATAACATTTTTTGCTATATTTATATCACAAATTGGTTGGACAATGACACAATTAACACATCTTTCATTAATAAATCAATTATCATCAAATTCATCCGATCGTATTTGGTTAACTTCGTTAAGGTAGGCGAAATTGAAATTAATGCGATTATTAAGTTTTTTTTTCTAAATTTGTTTGTTCAAAATTAGACAAGCAGCAAGTATTTATAGTTCATTAGTTGTTTATATATTATTTTGGTTTACATTGGCCAAAACCGATGAATATCATCTTACCCTTAATGATATTAATGTTTTTGCTGTAAGTTTTTTTTAAAAAAATCTTTGAAAGTTTCCATTTCTAATCTCGTTGATCAATTTTTTTTTGTTCTGTTCCGCGGAAAGAATAATGCATTTTTAATCACCATATTCGGTCTCATTCATTGTTGTGTATTCTTATTGACAATACAGGAAAAATCAATTCCAATAAAAATTATAAAAACATTTCCTTCAAAGGAAAATGATAAAAATTTACAAAATACAGATTTATTAATTACAAATATTGATGATGAACAACAACCTCGACCACAAGATTTACAAGAAGAATTATATTATCGTCCAATGGATCATTATAAAAAATTTGATTGGTTTAAAGATTTTGTTTTTTATAAAATTGTAAATAATTTTTTTTTTAATGAATTCGATTTCTATTTTTACCTAAATCAACCATTTTCAATTCATAATAGGCATTTATCTATATGTGTTCGCGACTTTATATGTGTATATCGATGGCCTATACACCGCTTTATCTTCAACGTACCTTATACCTGGAAAAGGTAATCTTTGTAGCTAGAAAATTTCAATTTAACTTTGATAAAATTTTTCATCATTTTCTCCCAATCACAAAAACAAGACATCGATAGCATTCATTCCATTAATAATCTATGTAAGCGGTATGATTATGTCATTTTTTTCAAATTATATTGAAAATCGTTTTGGTAATAAGGTAAAATTGATTGATTAATTATCATTGAAAAATGTCTAATCAATTAACCTAAAAATCTATTAGATTCATATGTGTTTAGGTATCGTATTGGCATTATTTTCATCAATTTGGATAATATTTGGTTCATGTGATGATCGATCATTTTTAAATTGGCAAATATATCTAATAGCCATACAGATTGGTCTTTCAATTACAATCATAAAAATTTCATCAATCAGTTTAGTAGCTGAAATGATTGGTTTTAATCAAAATAGTACATCATTTGTTTATGGTTTGGTTAGTTTTTTTGAAAAAGTTGCCGGTAGTATTGTTATTGCTATTGTTGAACAATTTGATCCGGATACATTAATTATAGATACTGTTAATAATGATTTAATAATTAAAAAAACTACTACTAATGTAAAATTCAATGGTAATAATAATAATAATCAAAATATATCAAATAATCAACATAATAAATTAATATGCTATGATCAACATAATGGTCATCCATTAATTATAAATTTTTATTATCAATATATTATGTCATATGTTAATATAACTATTGTTTTATTAATTTTAATCGGTCTTTTAACCATTATACGTATTGATCTTCGTAAATAAATTATAAATTATAAATGTAAATTATTAAATTATTAAATTATAAATAAAAATAAAAATAGAATGTTAACGTTTCAAATTTGTGATTTCAAATATAAACATAGGATGCATAAACATCTTGTTCAACATTAGATTTGATAAACAATTTTTTGACGAATCAAATTTTCTCTTCAAAAGCACACATATGATCATTATCGAATTGGTGATGTTTGATGGTGATGTTATCGTTCAGGAAAAATGAGCCCAGACAGTAAAGAGAGATAGAGAGAAACAGTATAGTGAAATGAAATTTTCCATTCCAAACATGGAATCAATCAATCGAAAAAAAAACATTTGAGTCTTGTGACACATTTTCGAATGTTATCGGTTGAAAAAGAAGACTTTGTTTTTCGTTCATTCGTGGCAACAAGTTTATGTAAGCATTTTTGTTTACAAACTACGACTAAGCGACTAATCATATAAAAAGCTTTGCAAGAAATTTGATTTTTCAAATCATTGGAATTGACAACTTTCGACGATAACAAATCAACATCAAATCGATTTATCCTGCTTGCTGATCCTGTCTTCACAACAAAATCACCAACAACAACAACAACAATGCAACAAACAAACGAAAAAATCCAATTACAATGCAAAGATTGTAATTGTGGATGTAATTGTAATGCTGAAAAATGTAAATGCAGTGGCTGTAAAGGATGTAAATAAATTGAAAATGAAAATGGAGAGATTCTCCTTTGATTACTGAATTTGTTTTTTTATAAAATTTAGCTTAAAAAATGATAAATTTTTATTTTTATAAAAAATAAATTTTAAAATTTCATTACAAAAATGTTTATGTTTTGGTGTTAATAGTTATTATTATTATCTTAATAAGTATCAACTTCATTTAGTTGAATGTTAAGAAATTTTCGCCGTGCAAAACAAATCCACCATTTCGATGGTGGTAATGATGATGATGGCCAAATTAAATCAATTAAACGTGTTGAACATTCTTGACGCATTTGCATCATATAATTACGCATTTCATCCGCTTCAACGGAATTTTTTGGTTTCAAATAGATATTGTTTAATGGGAATTTTGGATCACCTGGCAATGCAAATTTTTGTTGTGATAAATTTATTAAATCTTGTTGTGCTTGACGACGATTTGTTGATTTGGAAATTAATTTTAAACATTCAATTATATAAAGTGTTAAATAGATTAGATTTCGGTCGGATTCACACTGTTTTTGAACGAAAGAAGAAAAAGCAGAAATCAAATTATCAAAATATCAAAATTATAATCGTTTGTCCTTACCGTTATTTCGAAATTGGAAAAAAATACATTCGATTTGAAAAAATAAAAACTTTCATCAATTATATCCAAATCGATTGGATCTTCTTGGCGAACTATAGGGAAAAAGAATTCAAATTAAATCAAGTCAAGTCTGGTCAAATCAAAAAATTACATACGATGTTCATTATTCAATGATTTAATTGGACCATTATGTTTTGTACGAAATGTTAACAATGACATATTGCCAATTTTTTGTTTTGATTGACAACCAGAATGATAGATTGCAGGCATTTTTTTCACCGAAAAAGAATCAAAATTTTCAAAACAAAACAAAACAATGCAAAACAATGCAAATCAAACTATCCAAACGATTATTTCGGAATTGTGATTGCATCCACATAGAAAACTTGGCCAAAATCAAAATCACTCATCAAATGTTTGATTTTTAAAAAAAAACTCTGCTCAAACAATTTTTTTTTGTCGTCAATAGTGATGATATCATCGTCAATGGTAATTGTAGTCAATCAACAACAACGAAAAAATAAACAGGAAAAGTCTATATAACTAAACAATTAACATTTGATACATTTGGATGCCCAAATCGAAATCAACGATGGCTGTTGATTATAATCAGAAAGAAAGAAAATGTCGGTTTGTTTTGGTTTGTTGTTGTTGTTGTTTTCCATTTCATTCGAATCGAATCGAATCAAAACAATCCAGGATGAAATAGCTTGCTTGTCTGTTTTCCATTTGTTGTTGTTGTTGTTTGATTTGAATTGAGTTATCAAGGTTTTTTCTCACTTTTTTTTGATCATTTCACGAATGAATGAAATATTTTTATTGTGAAAAAATGAAAACAAAATGAGTGGAAAAAAAAGGTAAATGTAGCCACCATAATGTTTATGGATATTGGATAGAAAATGATAGTTAAGCTTTATTAGAAGCATTTTTATATAAGATTTAACATAAATTTTTTTTTTAAAAATCAATTTAACAAAAAATTTGACTCGTTCACTGATTTGTTGATGAGCATCTCTCGTGTTGAATTTCATTGGTTTCTTGGAAGCGAAATTCAAAAGGTGCAGCAAATTTTGGTACGAGAAGATGGTAAATCAGCAAATGGTTGACTTCGTACCTTAGCTCCAATCAAAATTGTACGGGATGTTGATTTTACAATTTTGCAAACAATTTTATGAAAAAGGTTTTTAACAAAATTGTTTGACAATCTGGTGACAGGAATCACCATTACATCTTGTTGTTATAACGATATCATCAAATTTTACACGACTATAAAGATCAATATTTTCATTCAAAAAACTGGAATCGAATTCGAATTTAATGTTTTGATTTCGAAGTTGTTCTCATTACTCGCAAGTAAAATAAACAATGCTACTAAAGGTTTTCTACTTTTATCAGTTTTCCAATTATGGTTGAAATAGTTCAGTGCCGGGATGTTTTTTCCGGTTGATTTCGATCTTTCCGTCAAATTCTTTAATAACGTTACCATAATTATTTGGCTCTTGAATGCAATATAAGACAGCACCCTAATCTATCAGCATTATTTACAAATTTAGCAATGTCGACTTTAAACTGTGTTGAACATTTTGATGAAGAATCATTCAATTCGCTAAAAAAAATCAGCTCTTCCATGATATGTTTGGTAAAACGCACGTGTAACAATAACAATCTTGCAAGAACAAAATACAAACAAAACTAAACAACTTTTATTAAAACATTCTGTTGTTTAAATAGGCAAAAATACAAATACAAAAGATTATAAAGAATACAGTCATTGCTTAGTCATTATTCCTGACTATAATTCATGTACAGTTCTAAAATTGTTTTTTAAGAGGAAAACGATAGCGAAAATTCGAATTCAAATCAAATGATTGATGGATGATTGATTGATTGATTGATTGATTGATTGATTAAGTAATCATTTTTTTTGATCATTTATGATGATAACTAAATGATTGCCTTCCAATAATTGTTTCAATATTGAAAAAATCACCAATATTTATATGACCATTATGATCAGTATCTAAACGTTGAAATTCAATCCAACCAATAATAATATCAAATTTTTCACATTTAATTAATTTTTGAAATTCAATTCGATCTAATTGCCAATCATGATTCAAATCATAACGTTTTATTAATTTGGNGTTCATTTTATTTGTTACGATGATTTCCAAAAGATGAAAATAGTCGACCAATTATGGTTGAAATAGTTCAGTGCCGGGATGTTTTTTCCGGTTGACTTATAGATCTTTCCGGCTAATATCTAGGCATCACTTTTTAATTTGCTGAATTCGCTCCTGTTTTCGTATAAATACCAGTCAACATTTGTTGGCATAGGTTCGAATATATGACAGCAACCAATCTATCAGCATTATTTACAAATAGCAATGTCGATTTTAAACTGTGTTGAACATTTTGATGAAGAATTAATTGATAATAAATAATGAAAGCTTATGTTCCGATCATCTATAGATATGATTGGATAATGTTCGTAATTCCAGAAGGAAAATTGAGATTGTCAAGCTGAAATAAGAATTAATTGATGAAGTATCATTCAATTCGCTATATATAAAAAATCAGCTCTGCCATCATGTATACTGTGAGATGTTTGGTAAAACGCACGTGTTCCATTCGAAACGATAACAATCTTGCAAGAACGAAATACAAACAAAACTAAACAAATTTTATTAAAACATTCTGTTGTTTAAATAGGCAAAAAATACAAATAAAAAAGATAAAGCATATACAGTCATTGCTTAGTCATTATTCTTGACTATAATTCATTGAAAACGATAACAAAAATTCGAATTCGAATTCAAATCAAATGATTGATTGATTGATTAAGTAATCATTTTTTTTGATCATTTATGATGATAACTAAATGATTGCCTTCCAATAATTGTTTCAATATTGAAAAAATCACCAATATTTATATGACCATTATGATCAGTATCTAAACGTTGAAATTCAATCCAACCAATAATAATATCAAATTTTTCACATTTAATTAATTTTTGAAATTCAATTCGATCTAATTGCCAATCATGATTCAAATCATAACGTTTTATTAATTTGGATGCATTTTTTAATGTTTGTAAAAATGTTTCATATTCATATGAATGATTTGGATTCATTGATTTATGTTCGATTGATTCATTCGTATTGATAAGATCAATAGATTGACCATTCATTTGTATGATGATCGTCGACGACAATAATACAATAATAATCATTGGACAACAAAATGATAACGACATTTTGTCTTTTGAATCTTCTTTGCTTCGTTTTGCTTCGTCTTCGATCAATAATCTTTTTTGTCACAATCACAGTGAATGGAAAATACATACATTTATATATCGGATGATCATCATTGATCACCATCAAAAAATTGATTGATTAATCAACCTGATTTGTTGATTGTTACCTTGAAAATTAATTTTATTTGTCCTAAATCCCAGGTATTCTCATAATTATAATGAGTTTTTTTTCTGGTTTATACGATGATGATCAATCAACATTGGTACTTGCATTGTAAAAACTTGACATTTCTTTGAACAAAAAATATTATCATCGTCGTCGTCTGTATAAACAACGTTGAATAAATGAAAAAAATGTTTTCTTGATAATGAGTGTCTGTGTTGTGTGTATTTTAATGGCGAAATAAGATGTTATGTTTTTCTCTGAAAAAAACAAACACAAAGAAACATTTGATTTGACAACATCTTTGTTTGGGATATTATTTCTTCGAATCTTTCTTTCTTGATAAATCTGATAATCCGAATTTTGAAAATAATCCGAATTTTGAAACAAAATAAAAAAAAACAATCATGACACAAATGTTGAAACATTTTCTGCTCAATAATCAATCATCAATACAAAAATTAATTTCATTATCGAATAAATCAACAATAAAAACAACATTGAAATCATCAATTCGTACTGTAATTGCAACATCATTTACATCACAACGTGATGATGAAGTTTTTATGAGTCGTCTTTCGGGTGAACATAATGGAATTGTTGTATGTTTTTTTGTTTTTAAATGATTAATTAATCTATCCAATTTTCGATTGTAATCTTTCTTTCTTTTTTTTTAAACAAGGTTTTATCATTGAATCGACCAAAAGCTGCAAATTCATTGAGTAAATCATTAGTTAGTTCATTGAACAATAGTATATATCAATTGACTAAAGATGATGAAATAAGAGTATTGATTATACGTTCAGTTGTACCGGGTGTATTTTGTGCCGGTGCTGATCTTAAAGAACGTGCTTCAATGCATATAAAAGAAGTACCATTATTTGTAACAAAATTACGTTCAATATCGAATGCTATAGCTGATTTTCCACATCCAACTATTGCTGCAATTGATGGTGCAGCATTAGGTGGTGGTCTTGAATATGCACTTGCAGCCGATTTACGTATTGCATCAATGAATGCTAAATTAGGTCTTGTTGAAACCAAATTGGCCATTATTCCTGGTGCTGGTTAGTTTGGATTTTTTTTTCGGGGATTATTTGTATTAATAATGATAATAATAATCAATTTTTAATCCATTGAAATTTATAGGTGGTACACAACGATTACCACGTATCATTCCTATACATATAGCCAAAGAATTAATATTCACTGGACGTATAATCGATGGACAACAAGCATTTCAATATGGAATGGTAAATTATGTTGTACCACAAAATCAAACACATGATGCTGCATATCAACGTTCAGTAATATTAGCTGAAGAAATGTTACAAACAGGACCAATTGCATTAAAAGCAGCTAAAATGGCTATAAATCGTGGTTCAGAAGTGGATATTAATACCGGATTAGCTATTGAAGGTGCTTGTTATCAACAATGTTTACATACAAAAGATCGAATCGAAGGTTTACAAGCGTTCCAGGAAAAAAGGCCACCCATTTATCAAGGAGAATAAAAAATTTCACCAGATTTTTTTCCTGATGGCTGAAAAAAATGAATTCCAATTTATTTACTGGTTTTTTTCATGATTTATTTTTTATTTTATTTTAAAAATTTTCTATCAAAAAAAAAAATAATAATGTGTGATGATTACAAATGATAATAATGATGATGGATAATAATAATAATAAAACTTGAATAATCCATCAATGCATCTTTAAAATTTTTTTTTCTTGTAAAATTAGATTGCCTAATAAAAAACAGAACAATAATGATAATTTTACAGGTCAAAAAATAAAAAAAAATGTCTATCAGACATAAATTATATATTTGGATAGTCATCAAGTTTATTACCACAAAAAAAAATAAAGTTGTTGGCATAAATTGGAGACGGAAAGATTCTTGTCAAACTAAGAAATCATTTGACATTGATATGATTTGTTTCTTTCTTTCAATCAAAAAACAAAGAAAACCAAAAATTTCAAGTTTTCATTATACGGATCTGATATATAATTGAATAATTATTACCGATGTAGCCATACACCAGAGTTCTTTTTTACAGGAGATATAATAAATCAATCATAATTCAAATTGAAATTGAAATCAGATAAAAAGTACGAGTAATTGTGTGTGTGAGTAGTACGTGCGAGATGAAATTTTACAATTTACAATTTTAGATTTTTATTGACTAAATAATAATAAAATGATAAAACAATGATTACAAAGTTTTTTTTGTCTGAATAGAATATATATTTAAATCATTACCTGTTGTTTGATTTTGGATCATTTTTTTGTGATTTTTTTTTGAGAAAAAAACGACAGTAATTTTTAAAATTTGAAAAAGTTTAAAGTTTCAATTTTTGGTTTTTGTTTGGTTTTTTCGCCGGAACAAAAAAAATGATGAAAACATTGAAAACTATCGATAGTCAAAGATTCGAATCGATTATCAAACTATCGATATTGTTTGGTGTATTTTTTTCATTACTTTTGGTGAGTTTGGTTGGTTTTTGTTTTTTGGTTTTCCGTTTTTTTTTTGAGAAACTGAAATGATTCAACTTTTTCAACTTTTTTTTTCTTCTTCAACTAAATTTAATTAACAGGCAACAGTCAATGGTGAACAAAATGATGACCAAATAAAAGTAGAAATATACTACGAAACAGCCAATCATAATGTACAACGATTTATGGCTCAACAATTTCGTCCAATGATTGAATATTTAAATTTAGCAAATATTCATCTGGAACTTTATCCATATGGTCAGACAAAAAAACAAGAGGATAATACCTTTGAATGTCCTTATGGTGAAATTCAATGTTTAGCCAATAAATATCAGGTTTGTTTATTTTTATCAATTAAATTTGGAAAAAAAAACTATAAAATTTTCAATTTAGGCATGTATAATCGAACATGATACGAATGGAACGTTTGTCATCAAGGATAATAGTGAAACGGCAAGATTTGTTTCATGTTTTTTCAAAAATAGAAATTCTGAAACCGATCCGGCAGAATTGGCTGAAATTTGTATTCAAAATTCTAAGGATGATTGGATGACAATTGAACAATGTGTTAAAACAGATAATATCACTGAATTAATGGCTAAACGAACGGAAAAAGCAAACAAATATCTTGAAAATGGTTTAGCAATTTTAATTAATGATGTTCATAATCAAGAAGCCAGAAAAGATTTAATCAAACAAATCTGTACATTGTTACCGGTAAGCATATTTAAGTTCATTGAATTGTTTGAAGCAAAAAATCTTTTCTTTTCTTTTCTTTAAAAAAAACAAGAATGATGAAATGTGTAAAAATCCACCCACAACAACACCGGTAAATGTAGAAATATATTATGAAGCAATGAATCCAACAGCATATAATTTTTTTCATCAACAATTATATCCATATTATCATGTTTTGGATGATATTATTGAATTGAAATTAATACCATTTGGTAATACTATTATTATTGATCAAACAAATATGATTACAAATAGTTCCAGTCGGACAAAACGACAAGATATTAGTAATCGATTTCAGGTATGTGTTTTTTGTTTAATCATTGTAATATGGATGTGTGTATATTTTTTCAATCAAAATCCAAATATATAGGCATTGGTTGTTCAAAAATATATAAATGATGGACATAATGGTGATCTGATTAGTGGTACAAATCATGTATTAAATTTTCTTCAATGTTTAATTAATAAAAAAATTGGTAATGAATATGATCATTTAGAAGAATGTTCAAATCAAAAACTGAATGGTGAATATATTCAGTTTTTAGAGGAAATCAAATTTAATGGTGAAAAGATTAAGAAAATTTTTAAAGATTTTTCAACGCAAACAGAAAAAATTAAGAATAATAATGGTGATTTAAGAATTCCATCAATCACTGTAAATAATGATAAAATAAATGATAATGCATTTAATGATCTTGTTCAAGAAATTTGTGTAAATTATGTAAGTAAAAATAAACATTTTATTTATTTTTTTCCTGATCAATCACATTATATCGATATTCTAATGATAATAGAATTCAACAATAAAACCGAAAATTTGTACCAAAGTTCAGATGACCATATTCTATGAACCATCACATCAACCATCACGACGATATTTTCTTGAACATTTAAAACCAATATTTATCAATCTTTATAATCTTATTGATTTTAATTTCAATCCAGCTGGAAGAATTGAAATAAAAAATAATAAAATAACATGTCCAGGCGGTGAAGTTCAATGTGAAATGATGAAAATTCATGCTTGTGTTATTGATTATTATTGGAATGATGGTTCAAATTTTACCGATCATAATCGACAACATGTATTCGATTTTATTTGGTGTACAATGAAAAATGTACGTTCATTAGATAAACCAGATGATCTTGGTGAATTATGTGCAAATAAATATCTTAATGGATTTGAACAATGGCAAACGATTAATTTGTGTGCCAAAAGTGATGATTCAATCGCTTTGTTGGAAGATTTTAAAGAAGTAACACATTCAAGTAATCTTGGAGATATTTCCAAACAAAACTTTCCAATTGTAATTTTTAATCAAGGCACAAATAATTCACAAATTGTGAATGATACCGAACAAGTTAAACAGAAAATCTGTGATCATTTTGTAAGTTTGTCGTTGAAATTTAGTTATTATTTTAATAATAATAATTTTTTCCCATCGAATATCAGGATGAATATCATCAACCAGATTATTGTACCAAAGATGAATCGATTCCAGTAGATGTGGATATTTATTATGATTCAAATAATGAAATTGCTAAACATTTTTTCATTACACAATTAAATCATTCACATGTTTTTATCGAAGAAATTGCCAATGTTCATCTTCATCCAATTGCAAATACAGAAGATTTAGTAAATCCTACGAATGGAAATTGTCAAAATTTAAATGATTCGATTTGTTTAGCAAATGCTATTCATGCAACCGTAATCGATACATATGAAACACCAGATCAATTAGATTTAATTGATGAACGTTTACGTATAACAAATTTTATTAATTGTTTTGTTACACATCCAGAATGGCCAAATAATGTACAATTAATTGGTGATGAATGTGCTAAAAGTCAATTGAAAAATGGTAAATTACCTTCAATCAATGGTGAATCATTGAAAAAAGCATTGGAAAAAACTAAAGAATTGAAAAATAAATTGCATAAAACTGAAATAACAATACCATGGATTACATTAAATGATAATGTACGAAATAATCATGAATCTATTGAAAATTTATTACAAACAGTTTGTAATGAATATGATGGTCAAAAACCAGATGAATGTACTACAGCTACAGTTGATATTTATTATTCATCATATGCATCGAATTCAAGAAAATTTTTCATTGAAGAATTGATACCAACATTTCGTAATATTCGTGAACGAATTAAATTGAATCTATATCCATACGGATCGGTAAATGAAAATAAAACTATTGAAGAAGAATGTGAAAATGATGATGAACGTTGTGAAGCAAATAAAATTCATGCATGTGTATTGAAACGATATTGGAATCAAGAAGAATTGATTGATAATCAAACTGCATTATGGGATAGTAAAAATCAAACATTATTATTTATTCATTGTTTTTTTAAAAATATTGCTAATGGAAATAGTTTAATTGAATTAATGGAACAATGTGAAAATGAATTTCTTCCATTAGCTGAACAGATAAATAATTGTGTTATGAATGAAACTGAAAGTCTTGACCTTTTGAAAAAAATTCGACAAAGAACACTTGATGTTATTGGAACAATACCGGATAATATAGCTGTTTTTATTAATGGTGAACAAATGCCTTTGGCCGAATCAAATTTACAAACAATTGTATGTAGTGAATTATTGGGTGAAAAACCATTAGCATGTCATCGTGATAAACCAACAAAAGTTCAAGTACAATTTTATTATTCTGCACTTGATCCTGAAGTAACAAATTTCATAAAAATTAATAAATTTTATGATAATTATCTTCATCTAGAAGAAATTGTCGATATTCAAATGATTCCATATGTAAAATCATATTTAGATAATGATAATCAATTAAATTGTCCCGGTGAAGAACAATGTCATGCTACTCGAATTCATGCTTGTGTAATGGATAAATTTGGCAATAATGGTACACATTCTGCATTCGATGGACAACTTCAATTGATTCAATTTATTGATTGTTATTTTTCAAAACTTCAAAATTCAGATTATTCATCAATAGCTTCAGAATGTATTGAATCAATATTTAAAGATGCTTGGGTACCGATTCGAAATTGTGCTGAATCAAATTATTCAATTGATTTATTGAAACAATATGAACAAAAATATGTTTCAAAATTATTACCAAAAATTGATTATGTTCCATGGATAACAATACAAGATTATCATTCATATGATGCTGAAAATCATTTTATTCATACCGTTTGTGATTCTTATGATGTAAGTCCGAATATTTCATTAAAAAAATTGAATCAAAAATCAAAATCATTTTGTTTTTTTTTATAATAATAGGGATTAGAAAAACCGAATGAATGTCATCAAAAATTCAATGAACAAAAACCATCGTTGAAAATATATTATGAACCAAAAAATCAACGATCTAGAAATATTTTCATTACACAATTTGATCGTACACGAACAAAAATCGATAATTTTATTTTGAAAATTCAACCAATTCCAATTGGTCAACTAAGCAATAATGATAATGAAAATCCTGAATGTCTTAATGACTCAGATTGTATGCAAACATATCAACATGTAAGTAATAAAATATTTTATTTTTTGATGCAATGAAATTATTTTGTTTTTTTGTTTTCAATAATAAAAGTCGTGCATCATGGAAGAATATTCAAATCAAACGGATAAAATAATTGATTTTATTAACTGTTATTTTGGACAAAAATTTACCGAAACCGATTCGACAAAAAATTGTTTTAATGAAATTTTTGATAAAAATCTATGGAATAAAATCGAAGAATGTGTTAAGGAAAATGCAAAGGAAATTTTGATGAAAAATTTAAAAAATCTTGAAAATGTTTATCGACCAATTACAAGTGTGCCAATGATTCAAATTAATGATGTTATCATTGATGATAATCAAAATCTTATTACACATATTTGTTCTATGTATTATTCGGTTCGTATAACAATAATGGTAAATTTTATGGTTAAATAATTTTAATTTTTGTTTGTTTGAATGTTTTCATGAATCAGAATGATAAACCCGAACAATGTCGAATCGAACAAAAACCAATTGGATTTTATTATCAAACTCAAGATGATAATGTAAAAACATTTGCATCGAAACAACTATCTTTTCAATCAGAATATTTGGATGAATTTGGTGGAATCGAATTTTTCCCGTATGGTAAAACCAAAAAAACTGATAGTGGATATGAATGTCCAAAAGGCAATGGTCAATGTTCCGAAAATAAATTTCATGTAAGTTTGAAAATAGCTTTTGTTTCAATATTGATCAATCATTCAATTCTTTGATTTGATAGGCTTGTATTCTGGATAGATACTATAATGATCGGAAAACCTTTGATCCATGGCGTATTAAAACAGCTAATTTTTTAGTCTGTTCACTTGATTATTCTAATAATTCGAATTTAGAATCATGTTTTAATCAACATTTTACCGGTGAATTATTGAATGATATTTACGAATGTTCAAACGGAAATATGGGTAAAGAATTATATGATGATTTAGCGAATAAAACACAGCAAGGAAATTTTAATGATCAACCATTACCATGGATCACATTGGCGGAACAATATTCTGAAAAAGCAACGAAAAATTTATTCGATATGATTTGTTATAATTATGGGGTAAGTTTCATTAGTTGTTTTTTTTCTGTATCAATCAATTAATTATCGATAATGATAGTTGGTAAAAAATCGACGTTGTACTACTTTATCATCAATAATGGCTATCGATTTACGATTATATTTTTCTTGTGATAAATCTGGAAGAGAATTTATTATTGAAAATTTGAAACCATTTTATTCACATTTATTAACGAATGCCAAACAAACAAAAGAAGAAACATCATTATTAGATCAAGCTGCGAATCAAATGAAATTACAATCATTGGTAAAGATTAGTATGATACCATATGGTAATACAATTTATGATAAAAACAACCAAACGTTTACTTGTCCAACCAAAGAAGAATGTTTAGCTAATCGTTATTTAGCCTGTGCAAATTATTATCATAATTCAGAATATAATGGACATTTACATTTAGTTGAATTCGCATTATGTTTTTTCAATGATGAAAATTTTCAAAACAATATTACATTAGCTGTTGAAAAATGTTCACAACAAATTTGGTTCAATATATCGAATGCTAAACAATTGAAAACTTGTGTTGAAAATAATGAAATATCAGACAAGATATTACTTGAAATGAAAAAACAAACCGAATCAATTGAATCATCGTTGAATCAATGTAAGTTGAATCTATTGAAACAATGAAAAAAAATTAAACTTTTTTTTGAAAAAATATTTTTTTCTAGTTCCATTGATTACAATTGGTACAAAAATTGAAAACGAAACTAATTTAATGAAAATTGCATGTGAATTATATACTGGAATTGATTATCCAAATGAATGTAAACCATATATCGAAAATGATGATGATAATAATAATAATACCGAATCCAAATCATTTCCAATATGGGCTATTATTTTAATTGTAATTGCTGTTTTAGTTGTTGTCGGTTTATTATTTGTATGTGTACGAAAAAATCGTTAATGATGATGATTGAAAATGGACAAAAAAAACCGATGAACCATTGATTGAACCTTGCATAGACAATTTTATTTGTATTTATAAATAATTTTTTTTTTTTAATTTATGTTTTAACAAAAATACTTTTGTATTACCCCAGATTATTGATTTTTTTTTATAAAAAATATTCGATGAGTAATTAAATGTTTTCCCCGGTAAATGATAAATCTTAGTTGTTTTTAAAAAGTCGCTAGATGACGCTACAAGTATGTTTTTGTTTTTTCTGGAGAGTTTGATAGAAAAATTTCAAATTTAAAATAGTTCGATTCGAATTTCGATTATTTTATTTTATGAAAAGCATCATTTTAATTTTCGTTTTTTTTAAAAAAAAAGATGAAAATTTGGGATCTTCCAAGAACTGAAGAAGAAGCAGTGTCTTTTTTTCAAGAAAAAGGTATATTGGCAAAGAATTCAATATGCGATCAAAATCATCAAATGAAATTGTCTTTTTGTGATGGTGTACGTTGGCGATGTAATTCATGTCGTACAAAAAAAAGTATTCGAAAAGGTACATGGTTCGAATCGTCAAGATTAAGCTTTCTTTCAGCTTTACGATTTATTTATGGTTGGAGCCAAGAGATGACATCAGTCAAATGGTGTGAAAAACAATTAAATATGAACCACAATACAGTGGTAAATTGGAATAACTACATGCGAGAAGTTTGTGTAAAAGTATTAGCCCAACGTAACCAAAACAAAATTGGTGGTCCAGGAAAAATCGTAGAAATTGATGAGAGTTTATTTACAAAACGTAAAAACAATTCCGATCAACAACAATGGATATTTGGGGGTATTTGTCGAGAAACGGACGAATGTTTTCTAGTCGAAGTTCAAGAACGTTCATTACCAGTTCTATTAAATACGATAACAAATCACATCGAACAAGGATCAATCGTGTATTTTGATTCATGGAAAAGTTATTGTACAAATGACATGGAAGATGCTAATCTAAAGCATTTTCAAATGAATCATCGATACAATTTTGTTGATTACGATACTGGTGTAAAAAACAATACGAAAATTAAACAACTTTGTTGGGGAAGTGTCAAATGGAGAAGTAAAAAACATCGAAAAACATTATGCCATCACTTGGAAACGTATCTTGCTGAATTTATGTGGCGAAGAAATTTGAATGATCCTTTTGAACAAATTCTTCAGGACATTACCGTATTCTGGAATAATCAATAATTCTTATGTGAATGAAATTGCTCTATTTTTTTAAATTAATTGAGCTTAAACACATTATGGAGCATTTACAAATATTTTTGGTTTATAATTCATTAATATTCATGTTTATTTTGCTTTTAACTTTAACTTTTTTTAAATGTAAATCCTATTTTTATTTATAAAATCGTTTCAAAAAAATTTTAAAAAAATTAAAAATACAGTCGTCCCTCGTACAACGCGGTTTTGTCGTTCCGCGTAGTATCGAAACCGCGTTGTACGAAATGAATGTAAAATAGAAGAAATGGCTCGTGTAGTATCGAAACCGTGTTCCGCGTAGTATCGAAACCGTGTTGTACGAGACCTACAAATAGTAGAAATATGGAAATTTGTACCGTGTTATATCGAGACCAAGGCATAAGACATAATTTTTTTTAATTTAATTATTTTGCGAATTCGATTTTTCAAAACCGCGTTGTATCGAAACCCTGACCGTGTTGTACGAGGGAAAACTGTATAATTTCGCAATTCTAGAACCGCGTTCTATCGAAACCGCGTTGTTCAAGTACCGCGTTGTACGAGGGACGACTGTAATAATAACTTGTAGCGACATCTGTTGTTTTTGGATCATTCTAACCATCTTTCAGTATCATTATAATAATATTTAAATGTTGTTTGTAAATCAATTGATTTGGCAGCCATATTAATTATTGAATCAACATTTAAGATTAGATTGGAAACTAATTGAAATGAGAAAAAACATTCATTTTAAATTCGGAATTGATCATATGATAAACTTACCATTAGCTTCTTTTATCAATTCATTTTGTTCAATTTTTTGTTGTGTAAATGGTAAATCAATTGATTCAAATAATTTTTGACGAAATTCTTTACCATTATAAGTTCGATTATGATTGATACAATCGACCATTTCATTGAAATATAATTCCCAACGTGGTTTATAAAGATAACGAAACATACCAGACCATTGTTTGGCAGCATAATTTGCTATCTATACGAATAAGATAGTAGAGATAATGAATAAGAAAATATACAAACAATGGACTTACATTAGAATTTGGTCCCCAAATTGAAATCTGTGTTCGTGCTTGCCATTCATTAAAATTTTTTTCATTTGTATCATTACCTAATAACCGTGCATCATTAATCCAATTATATAGTAGACAATGTTTACATGATTGAAGAATTGATTCAGTTAAATCTAAAACATTTCGAAGTTGTTGTATTGATTTATGTAAAATTTGAATTTGTTGTTTTCGATTTTCAAATGCATTATCCATTATTTTATAATAATAATCAAAAATTAACTGTAATGTTTGCCTGGAAATATCAACTAAATCATGAACAAATGTATCGGATAAATGAATAATTTTTGGATTTTTTTCAAGATATTCATAGAATAAACATAATGCTTTTGAAATATCTTTAGGATCATACCAAAGCATTGAATGTGAATGTGGACGTGGTCTTGATATAAAAATATATCTACCATGATTTTTAATACCAATTGGATCATTATAAACAGATTTTCTTAATAATTGCCATGCTTGATCTAAATGTTGATCATCATCATTGATACCATATCGACGACGATAATATCTGGAAAACCATTCAGTTTGATTAGGTGCTTGATTATACCATGGTATTTCTAACATATAATCATATACAATATCATTTTGTTCAATACCTTCAGGTGTAATACCTATACCAAGCATATTTGGATTTTGATCACGTGCATCAAAAACACCATTATAATTAATACGATTTAATGAACCAAACATTCCATTAACACCACCATAATTATGTAATATACACCATATAAATGGTTGTCCAAAATAACCATCAGTTTGTGAATATATTGGTATAACTTCGGCAATATTATCCAAAATTATCATTTTGTTTATCGGTACGGCTGTAACCAATGCTTTAACTTGTTTTGGACCCCAAAATTTATCATATAATGAATTGAATGGATAACCTTGCAATAACCAAATTCCTTTTGGATCAGCCTGTCGAATACTTTCATAAACACCTTTTCCACATCTATGTAGATATAATAGATTTCTAGATGATGGTGTTTCTTCAACAAACATATCAATATTATAAAAATGATCAGTTCCATACATTTTTCTATATTCTTCAATGAATGTTTTACCAATCTGAATGAAATAAGGATCTTCAGGTTCAAGAAAATAAGTCCTAAATGAACGAAAAAATAATTAATACATCCGACAAAATTTTGGATAAAAACAATTTTCATACTGGCTAAAATTAGCACCAAAATGATTCCAATTAGCTAATCGATTCATTTTGGCTAATGGAAATTTTTGCCGAAATGCACGTGGTACATGACCGGAAAAACCCGGTACAACTGGAAACATTCCTAGCTGTCGCATTCGTTTAAGAATTTTTCGTTGTAATTTTGTTTGATGTTCATGCCAATGTTCAGATAATGGTCCAGACCATGTTTGAATATTACCCATACGATTCCATGCTAAATATGCTGGTCCAGTAAAATATTCATCAATTTCTTCAATGGTTAAATTAAATTTTTCAAATGTACGACGAAATATAATTTCCTGGCCATTAAATGCCAGCGCAAGATTAATACCATTCAATGCCATCCAATCTAGTTCTCGTTGCCAACGTGGCCATTGCCACCATACCATTGAATAGGATGTTGTACATGCATTTTGATAATAACGAAATCTAAATACATTATTGTAATTATGGTGAAAATTGATTCAATAATGAAGAAAATTCCTAAACTTACTTTTCTTTTATAATCATTTCGATTGGATGATCAATCATTGGTGGTAAATCATTTTGTTTGATATTAATATGATCACCGGACCATGATATTGAACTGTTTGTTATGTATTTAAGATAATAATAAAAACCATTAGCAGCCGCTACACCGGTTGTTGCTTTGATTTGTATTTTTGGTTTATCATCATAAATACTTTCAATCTTTGATTAAAGAAATATATAAATAAAGAAATGAATGAAAAACACGTTAAAAAACCAAAAATCAATGAAAATTTACCTTGAAACGATCAAGATGACCATTAGAAATAAAATTATGATCAACAATAATATTAAAATAATAATAATGATGAGGTAATAAACGTTTGACTAATAAATAAATATTATCACTTTGTATTTGATCATTAATTATTGGTTGAATATTTAATAAATTTTCATAACGTAATTTTTCATAAAATAATTGTGATGAACGATTATGGCGATGATGATGGCTATATAATGATGCTGATGGTGGTTGTATATTAACATTAAGCTCGGTATAAAAAAGATTTGTAAATGGAAAAAATAGATTTAATAAAACAATGGAAAATAGTATTAGAATGATTGTTCCATTGTTCATCATTATGATTGCCATATTCGTGTTTTTTGGATCCCGCGGAATATCAAATAAGGTTGATGATTTGAAAGCGAAAAACTTTTTCTTCATTCATTCATTATATCAATGTAAAAACCAAATGTTTATTGTTCAAATTGACTAAATAATATCCATTTTTTGGAAAAGTTTTGAACTTCTATATTTCAAACGTTATCGGCAGCTTTGTTTGGTTTGTTAATAATCATCACCATATAGTTTTTCTAATCGTTCATCATTCGTTTGATTATTTTAGGTTTAGGATTTTGTTATTGACATTCAAATAATAAATATCTTGATGTTAATTGATTACCGTCGACGGTTCTCATCATTATCATCGTTTGGGTTTTTTTTCCAATTGAATTTTTCCAATCAAAAATTTTTTTGAAAAGTTTGGGGTAAACCAGAAAAAAAGTTTTGTTCAAAATAATCAACAAGTCAAAAAAAGAAAGCAAACATATGTCCCTCATTTGTTTTGTTTTGTTTAGCTGTTGTTCCCAGACGTTGAAAACGTCTTTGCTTGCAATCAAAAACTAAACTAAAAAAACAAGTCCAAAACCTAATCGATAGCGAGCAAAGAAACAAAAAAATCCTTATCAATATTATCGAAGAAGAAGAAGAAGAAACAAAAAAGAAAAAAGGGGGACAACTGACCAGTTGTTCACACTGACCGTGGTCACCATCTAGTGAGTAGTTTAAATGCAGTGGGATAGTGTGACCATCAAACAGATTACAAATTAAAGATCATCAGTATAGTTTTTTTATTACCCTCTTTTTCAACAATAATAATCATCATCATTTACAATTAATAATTAGAAGAAAAAGAAAAAAAAATTTTAACATTTTTATCAATCATTCGATAAAAACCTGTTCATTACGATAATAACGTATGAATGGATATTTAGATAATATTTCATAATATTCATATGGAATCGGTGCATCAATTTCGATCATATCATTTTGATCGATTGATTGTTCAATTTCTTTTACAACCAAATTAATATTGGCAATCAAATTCGTCACTGTAATAATGATAATTATTAATCAAAATGACAAAAAATTATTAGCGATAAACAATAAATCAATGCACTCTTACCATTAGCTTTTTGTATTAAATTTTGTCCTGTAGCTTTTATAAATGGTAGTTCAATTTTAAGAAACAATTCTTGTTGAAATTTTTTCTGATCAAAATATGTTTGATTTTTAGCCAACAATGTTCGTAAATAATCAAAATAAAATAACCAACGTGGTTGATAATAATATTGAAACATTCCTGACCATTGTTTGGCTGCATAATCAACAATCTAAGATATTATCAAAATGAAAAAAATGAAATTTTTCGGTTCAAATACAAACATTATCATTAGGTCCCCATGATGTAATCTGATTTCTAGCTTGCCATTCATTGTAATCACTTTCCTGATTTAAAAGAAGAAGGAAAAAGATTCAAATCAATGAAAAACAACAAAATCAAAATTTTTCAAACCTTGCTACTATTTGCAATAGAACGAGCATCATTAATCCAATTATAAAGTAACCAATGTTGACTTGATTGTAATATATTTTCCATTAATTCTAAAATATTTATCATTTTTGTAATAGACATTTCTAGTTTGGATTGATTTTGTTCAATCCAAGCATTGTCTAATTTTTGATAATAATAATCAAATATTAGTTGTAATGCTTGTCTATTCATATCGACCAAATCATAAACAAATGTTTCGGATGATAATAATTGTTGTTCTTGTGTAATTTTGTTATTCATATTAACAAATTTTACAATTAATTTTACTGCTTCAGTTAGATTCCGTGGATTATATGATAATTGTGAATGTAATCCAGGTTTAGGTAACATTGTAATCGTATAACGACCATGATTTCGTATACCAATTGGATCAGTATAAACGGATATTCTTAATAATTGCCATGTTTGATTTAAAAGTTCAATTCCCAACAAAGATTTATTATCCGTAAAACCATAACGTCTTTTTACATAATGATCAAACCATTCAATCATATTTGGTTGTTGATTATACCAAATAGTTTCAGTCATATAATCATAAACAATATCATTTTGTTCAATTCCTTCCATTGTCAGACCAATACCAATAAGATTTGGATAGGAATTTTTTGCCTGAAATAATTCATTATTAATACGATTTAATGCACCATACATTCCATGTGTACCACCAAAATTATGTAACATACACCATATAAATGGTTGATTATAATAACCATTGAATGCTTTATAAACAGGAATAATTTCCGAAAAAAGATCTAAAATTATCATTCTACCATTTGGAACTGATGTAACAAATGCTTCAACTTGTTTTTGTTTCCAAAATGTTGATTCAAATAAAAATAGCCAACCTTGCATAATCCTTGTAAACAATAAACAAAAAAAACATCATCATTATTAGAAACAAACAGAAAAAAAAAACATTCTATGGGAAAAATTTATATCACCATATAGCTTGTGGATCAGCAGCTAAAATACTTTCATAAACATTTTTACCACATTTTCGTAGATAGGCTGGATCATTTGAACTTGGTGTTTCTTCATTGAACAGATCAATATTATAAAAATGATCAGTACCATATAGTTTTATATACTACGCTAAGTGGTGGGGGTTAAAAAAAGTTATTTTTAGTTGAAAAATAACAGAATTTCCATTCTTCATATGAACACATACTTCTTCAACAAAAATTTTTCCAATTTTAATAAAATTTGGATCTTCTGGTTCAAGAAAATAGGTACTGAAAATGGATCAGAAATCAGAAAGCAAAATTATTTTGGTCAAGCATTAAAAAAACCAATAATAATGATACATACTAACTAAATTGATGACCAAATTGATTCCAATCAGTCAGTCGACTAATATTGGCCGAATTTTCCAAATGTCGTTTTAAATAACGTGAAACATGACCAGCAAAACCCGGTATAACTGGATACATACCAAAATTTCTCATTCTTTCAAGAATTCGTAATTGCAGTTGATATTGATATTGATGCCAATATTCGGATAATGGTCCAGACCATGTTTGTATATTACCCATACGATTCCATGCCAAAAATGCAGGTCCACTAAAATAATCATCAATTTCTTCAATGGTCATATTAAAACGTAAAAATGTTTTTCGGAAAACAATTTCTTGTCCATTAAATGCTAATGGTAAATTTATACCATGTAATGCCATCCAATCAATTTCTTTTTGCCATCTTGACCATTGCCACCAAACATTTGAATATGATGATGTACATGTATTCTGATAATAACGAAATTTATCTCTTATTGTTATTTTTATTGATTCCAATGGAATCGGTATATGATCATCATTGTTTAAAAATTTGTTCATTTGATTACCCGACCATGAAATTGAACAATTTACAATATTTTTTAGATAATAATAAATACCATTAGCAACAGAAACACCTGTTGTACCTTTAATTTGAATTATTTGATTGGATTTTGTTTCAATTGAAAATCGATCATTATTATTATTATCGATAAAATTACGATCAACTATCAGATTAAACCATTTAAAATGATTTGGTAATAATCTTTTTAATAAATCATTTACTGTATTTTGTTGTATGGAATCATTAACTTTTGGTACCATATTATAAAGATGTTTATATTGGGAATCTTGATTATTATCATGAATTATCATCATCAACAAACGAAAACTAAATGAATAAGATGAAATTTTATCAAGATAAAACTTACATACTTTCAAATGATGATTCTGCATTTTTATTCAAAAATCCCAATAAAAACAATGTAGCAAACAATTTGTAATTCATAATGATGATTCAGGAAAAAAAATTTGAATGTTTGGCTGTAACACAGAATCACAGATGAGTTTTATTGTCGAATTTCTTAGCAAATCAAAAATAACGAAAAAAATAATAACATTTGATTAGCCAGAAAAATGACAACCACCACCACCACGATGACGACGACTACGATTATGATAAATATTTTTTTGATAACTTTTTTCTTTGTGGATAAGGATGAACTTGGATCCCAACAATTGATATATATACCAAAGAGAGATTATGATTGATTTATGTTGATAAATTTTTTTTTTGCTTCCAAAAATGATATTATTATTGTGTCTATAGTATTAAAAAATCTAGATTAGTAGAACGGAAATTTTGACACAAATTTTTTCGTTTTCTGTTATTTTAAATGATGATTATTATCCATTAAGTAAGTTGAATGAATGATAATTTAATTAAAGTATCAAATTAAGATCAAGATTTGGAAAAAAAAGGATATTTTATTGCATTGCTTTGATTTGATAAAAATTTATTATATAATTTAAATGTCATTTTCAATTCAATCAATCAATAAATTCATTGATATTTCCATTATTAATTAAATGATCATTTGAATTGATTTTTCCATAACGAAAATGTGATATTTTTGCCATTCGTTTCAGTTCATTACGAATATCTGAACTAAGATTATGAAATAATTCATAAAAAATACCATTACCTTGTTCAATAAGTTCATATGGTGTATCGAATTGCATTAGGCAACCTTTATCCAAAACAATAACACGATCATAATCAATAATTGTATTTAAACGATGTGCAATTGTAAGCACTGTACAATGTTCAAATTCTTTTCGTATTGTTTCCTGAATAAATGAATCGGTTCTAATGTGGGAGAAAAAAAACAAAAAGATATTGAAAAATAGTTATGAAAAAAGACAGAAAAAATTTTACCTTGGATCAACATTAGCTGTTGCTTCATCAAGAATTAGAATACGATTTTTACGTAATATAGCTCTTGCCATACAGATAAGTTGTTTTTGTCCAACAGAAAAATCATTACCACATTCATTTACTAATGAATCAAGTGATAAAATTTTTGATTTAAGTTCAACTTTTTCAATTGCATTCCAAATTTCTTCATCCGATTTTTCATTAAATGGATCAAGATTTCGACGAATATTACCAGAAAATAGTACCGGTTCTTGTGGTATGATTGATAATTGTTTTCGTAATGTTGCTAAACTTATTTTACCAGTATCAATACCATCAATTTCAATAATACCAGTTGGTTGTATTAAACGAAACAATGTTGTTATGATTGATGATTTACCGGCACCAGTTCGACCAACAATACCAATTTTTTCACCACCATTTATTTTGAATGTAAGTTTTTTCAATACTGGTTCATCGGAAATATTATAATAAAGACAAACATTTTTAAAATCAATATCACCACTATTTGGCCATGATTCATCTGGTTCTATATCACCTTCATCCAAATTTTCCTGATCTAATTTATCAAATTCAATAATACGTTCAACCGATGTCATATAGGTTTCTACTTCGGTCATTTGTCTTACACCCCAATTAAATGTTGATGTTAATGATAATGATTGTGAAATAATCAGACCGATTAATGATCCAGTATAGATATCCAAATTTATGATTAGAAATACTATTAAACAATAAATATAAACAAGACACATAATTTCCATTGCAATACCGAATAAACGTGAACAACTTAAAAATGTAAACAATATTGATGAATGAACATTTTGTTTATCGATAAATCTTTCGGTAAACATTTTCTGTGCACCATAACAACGAATAGTTGGCAGACCGGATAATGTTGCTGCCATTTGTTGAAATAATGGACTACGTGCAGTAGCTTCCAATCGTTTAATATTACGAGCCGTTGTTACATAGAATCGTACAACGAAATATAATAAAATGGCCAATATAAAGAATGGTATAAGAATATAATAATTCAATGTTGCACATAATATAAATACGGCCAAAGAATTTCCCAGAATTTCAATTGCTTCAAATGCAACCGGTGGCAGTAGATCATCAATAATTCCAAGATCACGTGATACACGATTCATAATTATACCAACAGGTGTTTTATCGAAAAACATTATCGGTGCTTTAACCAATGAATCAAAAATTGTTTTATGTAAATTAACTGATGATCGCATACAGGTAATGAAAAATGATGTTGTACGTATGATGGAAAAAATGAATAAAAAACCAACTAAAAATGCATAAATAATAATATTTGTTTGATAATTTTCATGTATAATTGGACTTTTATCAAGTTGATGTTCAGGATTTAAATTATGTAGATGTAGATTTTCTTGATAATCAGTCCAAGCCGAAAGCCAATAATCAGTACCGGTAAATAATATTTGTGTTAAAATATTTGAAAAAATAAATGTTGAAAGTAGTAAAAATCCGGCACCAGTACGAACATAAATCCAATAAATTTTTAATGAACTCATTTTATTTTTGGAATCTGTACCAGCCATTTCAATTTGAAATTGTCCATCATCATTATCATCATTTGTTTGTAGATCATTACGATTTTTATATTCCATTATGCTTTGTTCATCTTGTAGACTAGATGCTGTACTCATTACAGATGATGTTCTTGATCTAACAAATAATTCTGAATTGAATGAATTTAAACGTACAACATAATGTGGTGATATGATTGATGAATTTGATGATTTTCGTTGATTTAATGGTAAATGTTCATTAATATGATCTATTGATAATTGTGGCTGTAATTGTAATTGTGATTGATCGGCAGTCACTTCTGTTGCTGCATATTTATAAATATCAATACCTTTGTTAAGTAATGTTTGATATGATCCTTGTGCTAAACAGCCACCATTTTTTAGAACAATAATTTGATCAGCTTGTTTGATGAATTGTAATTGATGTGTAACCAATATTACAACTTTATCTTTAAGATATTTTTTTATACATTTTTCGAATATATGTTTAGCAACAGCTGTATCGACAGCCGATAATGGATCATCCAAAAGTATACAATCCGAATCAGTATATAATGCTCGGGCTAATGATATACGTGCACGTTGACCACCACTTAATGATGTTCCACGATCATCTACAATTGTTTGATCACGTGCAGGCATCTGATCAATATCCGATTCTAATGCAGCAACTTTAATTACTTTCCAATAACGTTTTGAATCATATGGACGACCGAATAAAATATTTTCACGTATTGTACCGGCAAATATCCATGATTCTTGTGATGCATATATTAATGATCCACTTGTATCAATAGTACCAGATTTCAATCGATATTCACCAAGTATCGAAAGTAATATGGTTGATTTTCCTGAACCAACTTGTCCAACAACAACGGTTAATTGTCCGGGTTGAACATCAAATGAAATATTATCTAAAATAATTGCACCATCTGTTTCTGATTCAACTGTAACCGATTTCAATGATATTGATGGTTTTGAATCGATTGATTTTGGAATGACGGTTTTTTCTTCTTCAAGAAGAAATTTCTCAATACGACACAATGAAATATATGATTCAACAACATACGACAGGGCCATTGGGAAAAAGAATGTCATCGATTCACGAATCTGAAAGATTAATGATAATGAAACAAAAACTCTTTCGGCTGTAAGTTGTTGTTGACTTGTTTCCAAAAACCATACAAAACAAATGAATGCAAACAATTTGTTACTGACAAAAAATATGCCCAAATTAATCGATCGGATCATCATTGATTGACGAATTTTAACAATTTCTAAACGACGTGCCAAATTTACTAACAATGCAAATGGTTTTTCCCAACAATACATTTTGATGACACGCATTGCAGGTAGAATTTCAGCCATCAAACGTAAACGATCATCAGTAAGAAAAATTGATTTTGAACGAACACGACTTAAAATATTTGCCATAACAGCTTGAAATGGTATATAAACAATGATTAAAAAGATGACACCTAAACAAGCACTAATTGTAATGGATTAGGTAAATTAATTAATTGAACAAAATGAATATTAAACATACTTTCCAATGTATAAATAAAGAAACAACATTGCAACAATAAAATGTAATGGACCACCAATAATAAAATAATTTGCAGTAAAACTAACATCAAAACGACTAGCATCGGCTGAAATTAGATTTACAATTTTACCAATAGTAATACGTTGAATTGCTGATTGACTTATACGTAATGATTTATCATAGATTAATTTCGTTAATGCAACACGTATATTCAAACCCAAACGAAAATTACTCATAAAATATGGATGACTTACAATAAAATTCATTAAAATTACTAATGATAACATTCCAGCATAGAATAATGCATTTAAATGATGATCAGTTGTTGATATGGTCAAATTATTAAGCCATTCTAATCCTTGTTGATTGTTACGAATTGAATTTTGTTGAATAGACAACATTATTGATGATGAATTACTGTCATTGTCATTGTCAATTGAATCAATATTTGAAGAAAGTAATTGTTCACGATAAAGATTTGCAAAATAAATGAATCGTCCTAAAATTACCGGCAAAATCATTCGTAAAAATCCATACTGATTTTTTTGGGAATAAAATGAAATAATGAAATTGATGTGAAAATGGTTCCGAAACTCTTACAATGAAAACATTAAGAAATAGATCCCGTATATGTCGCCATCCAAAACTCATCAATAAAGCACGTAATAGACTGATTTTTGATTTGTCTTTACGATCAAGTTCTCGATTCCAACGTCTGCAAATAAATAAAAAAAATCATCATTTGTGAAAACATAATAACAATTAAAAATCAAAAAATATACTTTTGTAAACGATCACCAAGTTGTTGACATTCATCATCACGGGCACAATTATCAAATGAATCAATATCAAAATCATTATTATGATTTTTCCAAAGAAAACCAAATGCATAAAGACAATATAATTTACTAATTATATTGGAACGATCAAATGCATGTGGTTTTCGTTTTACAAAACAACAACAATTATCATTATCATCATTCTTATGGTTGATTTTTTCCACGACATCATCATTCAGATCAACACAATCGAATGCATCGTTCGAACGAAATCTTATCGTTCCTTGTTCATCATGATGATGATTATCGTTGTTGTTATTTTCGGTAATATTTTGATTTAAATCATATTGATTTTTAGAAAAATTAGTCATCTTTTCAAAAACAACAACAACATTTAGAAAATTTCACAATTTAAAAAAAATATCAACAAAAACTGTATAGTTTTTTAAAGTGGATCAATAAAAACAAACAATGATAATAAAGACGATGATGTAAATTACAAACAAAAAAGAAGTATTATTTCCTAACCTTTGCCGTCGTTTGGTCATATCAAAGTAGAAAAAAAACAAGGTAATTTCTTTTTATTACCTTTTTATATATGTTACCAAATGATCCAAATTATTCAATTGTCATTTTTCTCCATTTCTTTTTTCTTTTATTATTCGACGATTGTAAATTTGTGTCGTTCGTATATGATAAAAACAACAACCAGCAGAAAAAATTATGATCCGGTTGTATCCGATTTGGTTTTTTCTTCTTCTTCTTTGATGTGGCATTTGATATGTTAACCAATAAATGAATAAACTTATAGTCATCATCATTATTATCATTGTTGCCCGGTCATTTTATTAAAAATTTTAATAGTAAAATATATTGGCAACAGGTAAATTATGAATGATGGTAATAAAAACAGGTGATATTATCAATTTTTGAATTGTCATATTGCTGATAATAATTTTTATTTATTTATTATTATAAAATTATAAACTAGTTTGTACAATAAATACACCATATTCAATAATAAATAATGTTAATGTAATTAAAAATGTAAAATCAATATTAGTAAATTGATAGATAGACATTTGAAAATCTTGTTCATAAATATTTGATAATTGATATAAACGTATTGGATCAAATTGACGAATAATTATTGTTTCATTATTAAACATTAATCGATGATTATTCATCGATAATTGTTGTTGATTGATTAATTTCCAATATGGTTGTAATAATATTTTACAAATATTTTTCAATCTTTTTGATATATTTTCATTCAATTTTGATATTAAACCAATAAAACTACCGAATAAAAATATACGTAATATAAGAAAAAAATTACTATTATTTGTTGTTAATCTTGCAATACAAAATATTAATGTTATATTTAATGATTGCATTATAAGCCATATTAGNAATGAAAATTTTTCCTGTATAAAATGTCGTTGTAATTTTCTGTCCTGGATTAAATTCCATTCAATAGTAGTCAATAAATAATGTAATGATTTTTGATATGTTAATGACAGGAAACAAGAAAGAAAAAATTGTATATCAGTTTGAAACCAACCAAATAGATTTATATATGATTCAATCGGTCGGGTTTGTTCATCGAAAATAAACAGATAAAGAAATGGACCAACAAAAATACATTCATTCAACAGAATGAATATCATAAATAATAGATAAAATCGATGAAGTTCAATAGTTATAATTAGATTATGAATTTTTTTAAAAATCATTCGACCATTTATAAGATAATTAATTGTAATTAAATTATAAAAAAATGGAAATATAAAACGATATGTAAATATTAATAATGTAATGAAAAATTGTTTGGATGAAAAATTTTCACCAATATAAACATATGGATCATAAATACTAAGTCCATATGTTGCAATCAAATTGATTGACAAATTAATCATCAGATTGAATATTGATTGTAAGCGAATCGAACGAAATTGATAGCCTAAATATCTGAAAATAACAATGATTTTCAATTTTTCAAAAAAAAAGAAATTCTTCTTTTCAAAATAACCTACCCAAACGTATAAAATATTAATCGACAATATTTACGAGATTTTTCACCACGTTCATCCATCATTGATAGTGTTTGATATTGTGTTATCACACAAACAAATGTTTCGTAAGAATGACAAAAAAAAAGACCTTGTGACTCTGAATGGATCATCATCATCATTTTTGTTCATATCGATCAATAATATTCGATATGATATACGCAATGGTAATAATTAACTAAGAATTTTCTGGCAATTTTATTTTGTAATTGTTTTCTTGGAATCGAATGAAAAAAAAACATTTAGCAGATCAAAAAAACATTTCTTTATATTTTCTTCTCATTTATCACCTTCAAAACTGAAAAAACTTTAATTAGTGGATACAATAAATACAGTATAATTCATAATGAATACAATCATTGAAAGTAAAAAACTAAAATCCAATTTCCAAAAAT